TTCTATTCTTTTTGATAAATGCTCTCTATACAGTGTTAGACGTTTGTATTATATTTTTGCTTTTTCAGGTGGAGCAAGGGTAGATCTAGTTGACCAAGACGGACATTCTCTTCTACACTGGGCAGCGCTGGGAGGAAATGCTGATGTTTGCCAGATACTGATAGAAAATAAGATCAATCCAAACGTGCAGGATTATGCGGGAAGAACCCCTTTGCAGTGTGCTGCGTACGGGGGCTATATCAACTGCATGGCGGTGCTCATGGAGAACAACGCCGACCCGAACATCCAGGACAAAGAGGTGGAGAGCCTGCATCTTTTCTATGCTGTTTGCTCTGAAGTGCTCCGAGTATTCCTTCTTTGTAGCTAAAATTAAGTAAAACAACAATTTACCGAATGAAGAGATCACTCACAAATCTGTTCATTAGAAATGATTTTTACTTGTCCGTGTTCTCTTCTAGTCCTTTTCTGTATCTCCATATATAACAGTAAAGTCATAATATAGAATGCAAATAATTTTATAGCTTTTATAAATATGTATTCATGGCATATGTTTCTGTATGTATAAAAAGATATGTGTATGTATATATATATATATATGATATGATGTTACAAGCCACATTTTGTTCTGTTCACTTAAAATTATCACCAATATTTTTTCGTTTGGTATATAATCTTTTTCATAATCATAGATGCTTAATATTCCACAGTTCTAAGAGGTTTATGTTTAGTCATTCATTCAATCCTCACAGCAACTCTATAAAGTAGTTACTATTATTATTTCCATTTTATAGAAGAGGAAATTGAAGCTCATGGAGCTTAAATAATTACCCTAAGGCTACAACAGTGGCAGGGGTGGTGGGGAGGTTAGTCCAAACTATTCCTGTAACCCAAATTTTAGAATTAAATAAGCAACTTCCTATTGCTGGCCACTGTTTCATTATTATAGATCATGTAGCATTTAATCGGCTTTGTGCATTTAACTTTTTTTTTCTTTTGGATTATTCCCTTAGAATAATTTTCCCTAAGTGAAATTACTGAGTCAAAGTAATGAATGATATATGAATGTGATTAGGCTCTGATCCCAGACTCGAACTGGTTTCTAAAACGTGGATTAATCTGTGCTTTCCCCAGCTATATAGTAATGTATTGATTTCTCTCAATTTAGCCAATATTAACTTTCTTTGCTGGTTTAATTACTTTAACTCTTTAAAAATAGTGGCATATTAATTGTGTTTTCCAGGTCAGAAAATATATTCTCTCTTAATTCATTCAATAAACTTTTGCTAAGATTGTTAGTAACACAATGAAAAATATGTAAAATGTGGTTCTTATACCTATCTTATCGGAAATGCATCTTTTATAATTTTTAGTACCTTTTGCATTTTTTTAAAAGTTCCCAATCTCTTACATAAGCTACTTTCCAATTCTATTAATTTTTATGTGTGTTGTTTTGGATTATCTACATAAACAATCATACTATCTGTGAATAATATTTTTATTTTTTTCCTTTCCAATCCTTAGGCTTTTTAATTTTTTGTTTTGCCTTACTGAACTGGCTAGGACCTCCAGTACAATGTTGAATAGAATTGGTAATAGCTGACATCCTTAACTCATTCTCTCCTCTCAAGAGGAAAGCTTTAACTATTTCACCATTGAATATGTTTGCTCTAGGTTCTCATATATTTCTAGTTGCTAAGAGTTTTTAAAATTACAATTAGCTGTTTAATTTTTGTCAGATACTATTTCTGCATCTATTGATATGATCGTATTATTCTTTTCCTCTTTTCTGTTTATATGGTGAATTATGGTTGTTGGTTACATTGTTGTTTTTTGCAGGGGAAGATTTGCCCTAAGCTAACATCTGTTGTCAATCTTCCTCCTTTTTTCTTCCTTTCCCCCCCCAAGTCCCCAATACACAGCTGTGTATAGTTGTAAGTTCTTCTTGTTCTTCTATGTGAGCCACTGCCACAGCATGGCTACTGACAGATGAGTGGTGTGGTTCTGCACCCAGGAACCGAAGGACACTGAAGCAGAGCGTGCTGAACTTGAACGGCTAGGCCATCAGAGCTGGCTCGATTACATTGTTTTTTCAGATGTTAAAGCACCCTTTTATTCCTGGAGTAAGCCCCACTTATGATATATATGTTTGTAATATATAGAGAGATGGATTTCATTTGATAATATTTTGAGATTTTTGCTTCCATGTTCATGAGAGAGATTGATGTATGATTTTCCCTTCGTGTATTGTACTTGTCAGGTTTTGGTAGCCAGGTTATGCTGACCTTATAAAAAGAGTTAGGAAGTAGGCCCTTCTGTCTTATTCTCCTAAAGAATTTGTGTAAGATTGGTATTACTTCTTCCTTAAGTGTTTGGAAGGATTCTCTGGTGAAGTCATCTGGTCTAGGGGTTTTCTTTGTGCAAAGGTTGTTAATAACTGATTCAGTTCCATTAATAATTACAGGACTACTTAAGTTTTCTGATTATTTCCTTTCAGCTTTGGTAAGTTGCATTTTTGGAGAAATTTATCTATTTTATTAAAAATGTCAAATGTAGGGCTGGCCCCAAGGCCTAGTGGCTAAGTTCAGCATGCTCCAGTTCAGTGGCCTAGGTTCAGTTCTCAGGCGTGGACCTACATCCTTCTTCAGCAGCTGTGCTGTGCCAGTGATCCACATACAACATAGAAGAAGACTGGAACAGATGTTAGCTCAGGCCAAATCTTGCTCAGCAAAAAAGAAAAGAAGTCAAATATATTTGCATAAAGTTGGTCACATATTCTCTTATCTTTTTTATGTCTGTAGGACCTATAGCAATTTCCTCTTATTCTTTCCATGCATTGATAATGTGTGTTGTCTCTTTTTAAAAAATTTTATGTCTTGCTTATTCATCTTTTCGAAGGACTTCTGTCTTTGTTAATTTTCTATATTTTAAGGGTTTTTTTTACTATTTCATTGATGTTTACTGTTATCTTTATTATTTCTTGCCATCCACTTCATCAGGTTTGATTTACTATTTTTTTAAAGGTTCTTTAGATGAAAGTTTAAATCGTTGATTTTTTTTTTTAAGATTGACACATGAGCTAACATCTGTTGCCAATCTTCTTTTTTCTTCCTCTTCTTCTTCTTCTTCTCCCCAAAGCCCCCCAGTACATAGTTGTATATTCTAGTTGTGAGTGCCTCTGATTGTGCTATGTGGGAGCCTCAGCATGGTCTGATGAGCGGTGCCATGTCCGTGCCCAGGATCAGAACTGATGAAACCCTGAGCTGCCAAAGCAGAGTTTGTGAATATAACCACTCGGCCGTGAGGCCGGCCCCTAAATCATTAATTTTTTAAATATTCTTCACCAATATATGTCTTTAAGCATGCTGCTTCTTCTAAGCACTGCTTTAGCTGTATCCTACAAGTTTAGATAAATTGTACCATCACTATCATTCAGTTCAAACATTTTCTAATTTCTATTTTGATTTATTATTTGACCCATAGATTATTTAGAAGTGTATCGTTTAATTTCCAGGCAGATGGGCATTTTCCCATTATCTCTTTGTTATTGGTTGTATTAGTTTCCTATTCCTGCTGTCACAAATTACCACAAACTTAGTGGATTAGAACAACACAAATTTATTGTCTTACTGTTATGGATGTCAGAAGTCCAAAATGAGTGTCACTGGACTAAAACTCAAGGTGTTGGCAGGACTGCATTCCTTTTGGAGGCTCTAAGGGAGAATCTGTTTCCTTGACTTTTCTAGTGTCTAGATGCTGCCCTCATTCCTTGGCTTGTGGCCCCATACCTCCGTCTTCTAAGCTAGCAGTGACTGGTGAATCTTTCTCACACTGCATCACTCTGGCACTCAACCTCCTGCCTCCCTTTTCCACCTATAAGAACCCTTGTGATTACATCAAGTGTACCCAGAAAATCTAGGATATTCTCCCCATGTCAAGGTCAGTTGATTAGCAACCCTAATTCTATCTACAACCTTAATTCCCCTTTCCATAGAACATAACGTAATTACAAATTCCAGAGAACAGGATATAGACATCTTTGCAAGGGAATGTATTATTCTGCCCACCACGCTGATTTGCAGCTTAAATTTTACTGTGATGAGAAAACATATTCTGAATTATTTTAATCTTTCGAGACTTTCTTTATGACCCAGCATATAGTTGAGTTTGGTAAATGTTCTATGTATGCTTGAAAAGAGTACTAATTTTGTCATTGTTGGATGCAATGTTTTGTATATATCACTTCGGTCCAATTTTTACATTAGTTTGTTCAGGTCTTCTATATCTTTACTGCTCTTTTATGTTGGTTCTATAAACTATCATAAAAGATGGGTTAGAAATCTCCCTCTGTGATTATGGATTTGACTATCTTCCCTTTTAGTCTTGTCCATTTTTCCCTGTATATTTAGAGGCTGTGTTATTAAGTGCAGACAGCTTTAGGATTGTGATATCTTCGTCTTTAACTTCTTTAACACTGTGAAATATCCCTCTTTATCTCCAGCAATGCTTCATACCTTCCTTATCTTTCATGACATTGAAACCTTTTAAGAATACAGGCCGTTTATTTTATAGAATTTTACTCAGTTTGGCTTTGCCTGGTGATTCCTCATGATTAGCTTCAAGTCTTACATTTTTGGATAGAATATTATGTAAGTGATGCTGACTGTTTCTCAGAGTATCACCTCTGGAGACATGTGATGCCCCTTAACGTAGTATTAATTTTGATCATTTGCTTAAGATACCATCCACTTTCTCCACTGCATACTTAATGTTTTCCCTTTTTGTAGTTTAAGCAATTTGGGAGAATTGCTATATTTTGAGTTAGCATAAATAACTATGTGTCCAAAAATACCTACTTCAGATGTACTTAATTTTTGTTCCCACTTGTAGGGAAGAACAGCTTTGCACTGGTCCTGTAACAATGGATACCTTGATGCCATTAAATTACTCCTAGACTTTGCTGCTTTCCCTAATCAGATGGAAAACAATGAAGAAAGGTAAGCTGTTGATAAAAATTGTGCGTTGTTGTTCATCTCACATTCTTTCTGCCTAAAACCTCAAGTTTACTTACTGGTTCAGAAAGAATAAGTATACTCATAAGGAAATGCTACGCTGAGAAATCCTGAATCACAAGAAAACAACGAAAGTTCCTTGCAATGTTGATTTAGAATCATAAGAGTTTAAAGCTAGTTAGACCTTTGGATGCTACCTAGTGCTTTTGGATGTTACCTAAGATTTTACAGGTGAGGACACTTGGGCCTTCTTCTGGCTTGTGGCCAGCATACAGTCAGGGAGTCTTGATTGACCAGAACTAGGAATTCGGTTAGGCCAATGGAATGTGTTATAGATTCAAGAAGCTTCTCTTGATAAAGAGGATATTATCAGTTAGTGGACAGAGGCGCCACCATGTAGCCTGAGAAAATAAGGAGAAGCCAAGATGAAAGTTTGGGATTCTAGTCTAAATACAGATTTCTTGAATAACATGAGATCCATAGAGTTAAGCTGTGGTTGTTGCCGAAGGACCTAGGCCCCCAAAAGAGGACCAGACACAGTGTGAAGTCTAAGCAGGAGAGATTCTCGGTAATCTTGAATCTAGGAAGATTCCAGTAATTTGTGGGTAACAATAAGTTTGTGATCAGACTTCCATACCTGAGCTCCCCCCAGCCCAGGTCTGTGCTTTAGTTTTCATTGTTCATGGATGCTCTAACTAAAATGGCCTCTGCTGTGACACCATCCCCACCCTCTTAGCCACCACCAGTTCTTTCTTTCTGCCAAGAGCTGGGAAACTTTGTAGAGAAGGAGGGACTGTCTCTAGACCAATTGTTTTGGAGGAAAGGTGCTCCTTCTTTCTGGGGCCAGCTCCTTCATCTTTCCCACTTCTTTCAGAGCCTTTTGCCATTAGTTATATCCTCCATCTTTTATTTGCCAATTCTCTTTTTTTCTGAAGTTTGTCTTCTCTACCTATAAAGTCTTCCTTTTCTCAGACTGTCTGCACTGCCTCCATTTCCTCATGCTCACCATTCAAACCTTTGCAGTCTGGCTTCATCCTCACATTACACTGAAATCTGTGTCTGAGTGGTCAGTGACAAGTTCCTAATTGATAAGTCCTGTGTTGTCCTCTCTGTCCACTCTCCTCAGCCTTTCTGCACCTGCTGGTTCTGTTGACTCCTCTTTACCTTATTGAGACTATATCTTCTCTAAGCTTCTGTGACAGCGTATTTTCCTGATTCTCTTTCAGCTGTGTCTGTTCCTTCTCCATTTCTTTTGTCTCTTCTTCCATTTTTGAAACATTTTTTAAATATAAACATTCTTCAGGGACTGGATCTCTTCCCTCAGCCCATCTCCTTTGTCGATCTGACCTCTCACCGAGGTTTCAGCAGTCACCTGGGTGCTGGTGAGTCCTAAATCTGTATTCCAGACTCAGTATCTCTCCTTGTTTCACACTGTCGTCTCCTCCTCATTACCAGCACCGCTGTCTGAGTCTTGCCCTCTTTGACTCTTTCTGGGAATATCGCAATGCCTCCTCACTATTTTCCTTCCTTTGATTTTTCCTTCATTCAATTCATCTGCTTCCAAAGTAGCTTCTTAAAGCATATTTCTAACATAATTATTAATCATGTCATTCTTCTGTTCAAATGCAGTCTCCTATAAGAAGATTGTTCTGATCCCACAGTCGTGTGTCCCAAACTATGTCTCCCCTACACTGTGAGTTTTTATTAGCACTTAGCGCATTTTAATTTTTATTATAATTTTATGTAATCTGTCTTTCCTATGAGTGGAGAACTCCATCATGGTCATCTTTGCATTACTCACAGTGCTTTTCACGAAGTAGATGCTCAGTAAATAACTGTTGCATTGTCAAGTCAGCATTTTTAGGCTCCCAGTAGCACCACCCTGCTTCATACCTGCATTAGAAACTTCTGGAATTCTTAGAGCACATGCAGAATTATATAAAGCAGACTAGTATGTCTTACTTTGGGAGTGATTATAGAAAGAACTCACTCTCTATTATAATCAGATGACAACTGCAAAACAAAAAAGACTTGAAGATTTAGGTGTTTGGACATTTAAGGAAGCTGGAAAGGCAGAGGGAATCCTCAGGCTGGGGTTTTGACATTAAAGCAGATAATCTGAGAGAGCTGAAGATTTCTCCCCTTGAAGCCCTAAAAACACAAAAGGGAAAGGATTAAGAATTCTAAGAATTATTGATGATTTATTTGTATAAATAATTTATTCTATAGCAGTACTTAATACCTGACTGCCATTTTTTAAGGAAACACTAAAAAAAAAAATTTTGTGTAATTCAGTTCCCATTTGTATGCTAAGCCTTGAATTTCAGACCTAAGTAACCACATGAATTAAGGTGCTTACTGCCTCCTGGAGTAAACATATATTAATTACAGACCAAAAGACCAAAGGAAAAATTCCTCCAACTGGACCTGCCAATCCATAGATGAAAAGAGACAGTGACAATATCCCAGGCTCCTCTAATGTTTCATCAGCAATGCACCTTGATGTACAAATGTCAGAACCTGGCGCTGCCTTTTATGCTTATTGACATGCCAGGTCAGGCATTCTACTCATTCATCAGACCATTCCCGCATGGCAAGTCCAATTGTATCTTGTCTCTTGGCTTTATCTACATTGTTTCTTGACTGGTTACCATCAACGTGGCGCTAATTTTTGCTTCTCATGCACTGACACTCACCACTTGATGTGCACTGTTGAGACATAATTTTTGCCAACTACTGCTGGCTTTCAGTCAATAACCATCTGACAGTCACACTCAGACATCGATGGGAATATTCACAGCACTTGAATGTTTCTAAATTGAATTTGGGGTGAAGAAAGAATCAGTAGTAATAATCACAATATGGTCAGTTGCTTAAACACTAGGTATAGACTTCAATCTTAAAACCTGGCTAGATATTTGGATTGTGTCTCCCGGCATCAAAAATTGACTGGGAATCCTAATTTGAATAAACTAATTGTAAAAAACACATTTTTGAGAAAATTGGAGAAATTTGTATTTAGAGTGGGCACTAGATCTTACTAAGAAATTCCTGTTAATTATTGTTAATACAATGATAACATTGTGGTTGTGTCCGTATTATTTATAGATGAATACTGAACTGCAGAGAGATTAAATGATAGGAATTCTGGGATTTGCTTCAAAATTCTTTAACAAAAATAAAAAAGAAGGGATTGGTTGATGCAAATGTGCCAAAATTGCTAAATGCTCAATTTGAGTAATGAGTGTATTAAGGATTTTATGCTATTCTCTCTACTTTTGTTTATGCTTGAAGTATCTCATGATAAAAAGACAATTTTTTCATAATAAAAACATTTAAAATATTTGAGTGCAATTTTCCATCCACAAGAAGCCTGAGAGAGCTAGTTTTTCCCTCCTTCCTCACCTTTTACAGACAAGGAAACAGAAGCTCAGAGATGTGAAGAGAACGCCCAGGGTCACACAGACCTGCCGACCCCAGTTAGCATTCTTTAGGGTACATTATGCTATATGTTATTTTCTTTTGTCATATTTGTAATTAAAGGCATAGTTTGGGCTTTACTTTTGTAAACCAGATTCTGATAATCCTGCTTGTTATACTGTGTGAAAGACACTACATGTTACTAATTATAGAAAAAGTGATCAAGCTTCCTGAATACCTATGTTATTTGCATGCTGATTTTAGAAGCGGTTTCATTCTTAGGAGACTTACATTCAATAGCTGATGGATGTGTCGTGGAAGGATGGGTGAACAGGGAGTCAGACGGTCTTAGTTCTAGTCTAGATTCTGCAGGTAACTAGTTACATAACCTTCAGCAAGTTGCTTAATCTTTCTGGGTCTGTTTATGCATTTATAAAATGAAGGCGTTAAATTAAATGACCTCTAAAGTTCAGTTTAGCTCTGCTATTGTGTGGTTCTGTGACTCTGATCATTTTTTCTGTTGGGGAAAGTACCATCATGAGAGGATTTTAGAATATATAGTGAAATTTTTAGAAGTTCTTCTGAATTTACAAAATGCCATCTGCTTATAAATAATGTTTTAAAGTATATATAGGCACCTCTACTTTATGGCCTTCAGTCCCCTGAACAGTAGTGGCAAATCGAGCTGTCTTAATATGGGGATTCCTTAATTTTAGCATTTTGGAGCTTCCTTCTGAGCTCAGAGTTTCTTTACTAAAGTGACCAAAGCATCCTTTGCTTATACTGAAAATCGCTTCCTCTTACAAGGTCTTATTGTGATTGTTAGGTATGTTTTGAAGAATCATAATTTCTTTTCTCTAATCGTTGGATGATTTTCTGTGTCTAATCATGCATCCACATAATCATCATTTTTTGCACCTCGTAAATCAGCTGATTATTTCTGCTGACACCTCTGATTGCATGGGATGGTGACAGTCACCTTGAGAGGAGCTGGCTCAGTGAAGGTCATCAGGTAGTCATACATACTAGTTTGGGTCCTTGGAAATCATGTTTATGATAAGCCGCTGTAGTGTTCCAACCGCGCTGCAGTGTCCGTCCTGTCATAATAACCACAACAGCTGACGTTTATTAATTGCTTCCTTTGTGCCAGGCACAATGCTCTCTTTTTTACATTTATTATTCCATTTTCTCCTCCTACCAAGTCTGTGATGATGAAAGCTGTGGCTTCGAAACATCAAGTAAGCTGCTTAAGAAGTTATAGTCGTCATTACCATTGTTGAATGGTAGAATTTGGGTTATTTTGTACGTTTTGCATTGTTCGAATTCCTAAAATATATGTCATTTTTACAAAGTATTTATTTTTCTTTAAAAGAGGAAAGCATATCTGCCAAGATATTCACAGCTGTTAATTCTGAGGGCGGGAATATTGATGACTATTACTTTCTTCTGTGTATTTATCTAATTTTTTTTGTATTTCCAAAAATAGAAAAGATATATTTAAAGGAAGGAATTTGCCCAAAATCACACATCTAGAAAGTAGCCAGTTGAGATTCAAATTTATAACTATATGACAATAATACCCATTCTTTGGAAATAATGTATTTGTCAAAAAGGTGCTGCCTGTGTACTGTACTAAAAGACAGGATAGAGCGCTCCCTCCGCTGCCTTGGAGACAGGGTTTCCCCCCTAGAGGCGTCACTGTTCCGGGTTTCTTGGGGAACCTCTGGAGATATATTTCCATAGATGAGCATACAGCGATATATTCTTTTTCATACAAATGGAGCACACCATAATACTGTCCTGTTTCTGGCTTTTTTCTTTTTCTTCATTTTACAAGACATCCTGGAGATCGTCCCTTATTTATTCATATACTGCAGTAATGGCTGCGTTATACAAATGACTTCGTTGCATGAATGGCCTGTGCTCTATTTAGTCAGTCCTCTGCTGATGACTATTGAGGTTGTGTCTTCTTTTACTATTTTAATCTGTGCTTCTGTGACTGGCCTTGTACATAAAGCATTTCACACAAGAGAGCAGATCTGTAGGAGAAATGCCTGTAAGTGAAATAGCTTTGTCACAGGGCAGGTGCATGGATAATTTTGATAGACACTGGCAAATTGTTCTCCCTAAAAATTAAAGTAGTATATGCAAGAGCCATTCGACCACCCCGTCCTTGCCGGCACAGTGTGTTATTAGACTTTCTGGTCTTGCTAACCCCATCATTAGATTGAAGTGCTCTCTCATGTTGCTCTTAATTTGTTAGTAGTTCTATTAAATGAGAGAGGTTGAACATATCTTATTTGTTCAGGAATCATTAGTATTTCTTGTTTGGGGAACTATCTTTGTTTTTTGCCTTGCAAAATTTTGGGGTTTTTTATGTCCTTGGATTTATCAATCTTGTGGTTTCTGAGTTTTGCATCATTTTTTTAGAAAAGACTTCCCACTCCAGTATTTTTTTTTAATCTTTCAGGGTTTCTTCTAGTCTTTCATGGTTTCTTTTTTTATCCTTAGATATTTGTTGCATCCGGAATTCATTTTGCTGTAAAATATAAGATTCTTTTTTTTCCCAGATGGCTACCCAGTTGTCTCAACACTATTTAATAATCCATCCTTTTTGCAGTGATTTAAAGGGCCATCCTTATCATAATTTGGAACATAACCATCGGTGGTTATAAGCATTAACCATCAGTAAGCATGGGCTCAAACTTATGACTCTCACAGAATGTTATTTGCAGTCCTTTTTCAGATAGGAGCGGGAATTATTTGACACGTGGGAAAAAAGAAAAGTGATCATGTGTTCTTATAGCCCCCAATTTGTGAGCCAGCAAACGAAACTCAGGAATCGACATGGTCAGCAACACCCAGCCCCGATCCCAGCTTCACCTTTGTTTTGTGTCCCTCAGAGAAAAAAAGGAACGGCCCTGGAGTAGAGGAGATAGCTTTGCGTGAGGAATATTCCGCATCTTAGGATGAAGTTTCCTCCTGCTGCCTAATGCTGTCAGTCTAACTGTGCCTTGAGTTACATTCCAACACAAAAAAAAAATCTTCATGTTTCAGGTACACTCCCCTGGATTATGCTTTGCTTGGTGAGCGCCATGAAGTGATCCAGTTCATGCTGGAGCACGGTGCCCTGTCCATCGCCGCTATACAAGACATCGCTGCCTTCAAGATCCAAGCTGTCTACAAAGGGTACAAGGTCAGAAAAGCTTTCCGAGACCGGAAAAATCTCCTCATGAAGCATGAGCAGTTGAGAAAAGATGCTGCTGCCAAGTAAGTTTGAACGATAGAGATTGTGTTCTCACAACTCGGAATCAGGGTGGAAGGGACGGGTTGGTGGGAGTGGCCGAAAGAGGGGATCAGGAGAGAAGCTGAAATAATTTTGATCCCTGTACCCATGTCACCTTTCTGCTTCTGCTCACCACTCCTTCAGACGACTGAGGCCTCAATGAAGGATGAACACCTAATCGCTACTTGGTGGCTGTTCTTCTAGGTTAGTCCTTGGTGTTCCAGCTCAGGGACAAACCACTGCTACCCCCACCCACAGTGAGGAGTTGGCGGTGGCCTGCTGCCTACAGCGAGCTGCAAAGAGATAACTGGTCTCCTCGCCTTTCCTGCCTTTCTAAGCGAAACATGCCAATATCTCGCCTACCTTCACTAGTCTAATCTGAGTCTAGTTTCCATTTGATTAAAGCAACCAACTTACACAAGTAATGTGCTCTCCTCACCTGTTCCTTAACAAATCTGTGCTAAATAGTGATTCATTCAGGAAATATTGATTGAATTCTTCGTATACATACGAAACCCTTGACTAGAACCTACAGAGAAAATGGTGACTCAAAGCAAAGTCCTTGCTTCAAGGACCTCACATCTTTTTGGATAATAATAGAAAATGTGCAAAATAGTCATTTGTGCCCGTTATTAATTATACATTGATTATTTTACCATAAATGATTGATTTTAGATTATGCTTTGGTTTGCCTTTTCTTTGATACCTGTGTTGGGTATTTTAAACAGCAAGAGAGTATTGCATTAGCAGGTATAAATACCAAAACCTCTGATGATAAGGATGCAGATGCCAGGCAGATTCTTGAGGGATAACTTCCTGGCTGTATCTTGAATCTTTCCAAATCTTGAGTTCTTCCAACTCTTGAATCCTTCCATATCTCGCCCACAAGGGGGAAGCAAAAGTGCAATAAATAACTATTAAGAATAATAATAAAAGGCAGGATAAACCACTTTAATGAGAAGTTAACTACCACTATGAATTGGAATGCTAACCATGATGTCAGCCTTTGGTAGACCAGATTGACAGAAACATGTCATTTTCTGTAACTCTAAAGCTACCAAAACTACATCCTAGAAAATACTATCTTGCACTGTTGTCTTAATGATG